AAATGTAGCAGAAATTTCAAAGATCTTAATCAAATCTTGAAGCTATAAAATAAAATAACAGTAAAACTGTAATTACCCACATAAATACTCGAGTTTGGGTTAGCATATTTAAGCAATATGTATATTATATATATACATATAATATCGCGCAAGTTGCTAGCCGATCAGCTGGCTTAGCCATGGCTATCTCAGCCAGTGTTGGCAAATGACAAAGTCATAAAAATTTTTATGAAAATGAATATAAATGACATGTCATTTTAAATTTATATTATCATTTTCATAAAAAAAAAATTATACAAAATGTTGGCAAAATGACAAGTCATAAAAAATAATATTATAAATGACATTAAAATGACATTAAAATGACAAATTAATAACGATAGTAAAAACAATTGATAATTAATTTGTATTACTTTGATTATCATTATCTATTGTATAACGATATAAAAATTAATTTTTACGATCATTTTTACTTTTAATTTTACAAAATGGGACGCAATCGGCATAAATGGTCTAGTTACTTTAAAATACTTGATGAGCTTGCAAATAAGAGTAATAAAGCAGCTATCTGTCGTGCTTGTATAGAAGTTTTAGGTGACGAAGCCAAAAAAATAACAAACAAAGCAAATTTATGTTATAATCATTTGAAGTCTTGTCCAAATTTTGCACAAAAGTATACTACTGAAGAATTAAAAAAAATTCTTCAACAAAACGATAAAGAAATTTTAAATGAATCTAATAATGAATCTAATAGTGAATCTGATGAAAGTTCTTCAAAAAAAGTCAAAACAGGTAAATTTTTATAGTTAAATATATATAGTATATAATTTTAAATAACGTTAAAAATTTTTTTAAAATATAGTTTCTCAAAACCTGATTAAACCTGTTAAAAGGCAAAGACAAACAAGTGTTAACCAATATTTGTGTCATCCATTACCTGACAATATTCAGCAGCAATTTGAACGACATTTAATTCGTGGAACAGTAATGAATGGATTATCATTTAGGTGGATACAAGATGAGGATATCATAGCAGCTTTTAAACTTGCTAATCCGGCTATACAATTACCCCACATCGTAAACTAAGTGGATCTATTCTAAAAAAAGAAGTAAACATTACAAAAGAGCAATTTGAAATTATGGCAAAAGATGACAATATTGGAGTTACTCTAATGTTTGACGGTTGGAAAAATATAGTTAAGCAAAAATTAATAGGAACTGTACTTATGACTTCTAAAGGCAAAGCACTTGTATGGAATGCAGAAGATATTAGTTCAGAAAGAAGTTATGCTAGTAATGTAAATTCATTTACTGAACGATATATTGAGGAGTTAGCTACAAAGGAAATTAATGTAATTTGTATAGTTTCTGATTCTGCAGGGGAAAATGTTAAATCACGGTATGTATATACTATAGTATATATCGATATTTATAAAAAAAGCTAATTCTTAATTTATTTAGAAAGAAGCTACGTATTCAATATCCAAATATAGTTTTTCTTCCCTGCTTCGCTCACCAGGCAAATTTATGTGTAGGAGATGTCTTTAAATCTTCAGAAAGATATAAAGAAATTTCAAATCAAGCTATAAAGGTTATTAGCTTTTTTAATATGTCGACATACTTTTTAGAAAAACTTCGCAATCAGCAAATGATTCTTTATAATGGAAAAGCCTTTGCTTTAACATCACCTTGTGATACAAGATGGAATAGTTTTTATCACAGTTTTCATAATATTTTAAAATCAAAAGGGGCACTGACGGTAATAATATTTTTTTTTTTATAATATTGATACGTATTTTTTATTAATTATAAAGCATATTTTAATACATAATAATGCTTCGATAATTATTATAGGTACTTGTAACTAATATAGAAAATTCAACTAATTCGGATGATAAAAAATTTCCATCTGACATAGCTGAAATTATAAATGATTCTACATTTTGGAATGATTTAAAGGAGTTAAATGATATTCTTCTTCCATTTTGCGCGACACTTAATCAACTTCAGTGTGATTCAGCACGCTTATGTGACGTTATGCATGCATATGCATAGATAGTAGATACAATTCAAAAAAAGCCTGATTCGCCTTTTCGTTCACATATGTTGTTACGTTTAGAGAGACGATGGGTTCAGTGGGAACAGCCACTTCTTATATTGTCTTGGCTACTTCATCCAAACTATGGTTTGAAAAACCTTAATATTCATTTAAACGGATTATCAGCACCAATGTTAGGAAAATGGATAGTTTATTACTATATGCAATGGTTTTCTGTAAGGCCTGAAAATATTTTATCTGAGCTTGAAGACTTTTTAGCAAGCAATTCGCCATTCGACGCAATATCCTTCAATCAATTTCGTGGCAACATAATTAAATATTGGGCTTTTATTGAACGGGGAACTCATAAGGAGCTAGCAAATTTAGCACTTCATTTATTTGGAATTTGCATTAATAGCGCTTCAGTTGAAAGATTATTTTCAACTATGGGATTTCTACATAGCAAACGCAGAAATAAGCTTGGGGTATGTTACTAGTATATTCGAATTTTAATTGCAGTTCCAATAGTATTTGATTTCTATGAGCGAAGATTTTTTTTAAAGAAAGGTATTAAAAACAATTATTTGGGTTGTGAAAAATGTACGAATAAAAATGTGCAAGTTGTAGTCAATAAGGTATGTATGTTATTTTTCAAAATTCGGTAATTCAATTTAAAGCAACTAAAGATAATATACGATTAAATAAATTTCTTTTAATAATAGCTCAAAAAAGCTGGTAACGAATCTTCTGCAATCTAGTTAGATGAATCTAAATTAATATAATATTTAAACTTTGTCCTTTTTCATAAATCATTAAATTAATATAAGTTACACATTAATAAATTTTTTATAGATTGAACGCAAATATCCAATATAACAACAGGTAAAGATAGATGATTTATTTGAGCATCGCCAAGAAAAAACCCACAATTCTAAAAATAGATTATTATGAAGATTCATAATAATCTATTTTTAAAATTGTAGGTTTTCTCTTGGCGATACTCATTTGTAATAGGTTTCTTAAAAAATAAATTATTAGACATATTCAAATTGTAACTTTGCAATTCTTTAATTTAGTATCAAACGTATAATTCTCAAAAAATAATTCAAAAATAGACAAGTTGAAATATGGACATTGATAATCGCATCAAAGAATCTTAAGCAAGTAATCCTGGCTGATAACTAAAAAAAAAAATCGGCTAAGCTGATTTTTAATTTGGTACGATAATTTTTAAATATCAGGAATTGATATAAATATGAGCGTATTAATCCAGAAATTTTTTGAATACTAATAAAGCGTCTTGCTCTTTGTTTTATATATTAGAAATGGATCAGATTTTGATTTACAAAACTATAAATAAGGCAAGAGCAAAGAAACCCTTGTAATGACAGGATGTGCACATTATCAAATTCGAAGTTATTATTTAATAATTGCAAAAAAAAAAATTATGGACGTGACTTTGGGTATTGGTTGGTCACGACAGTTGTGCGCGGGCATGGGGCGCATAATATAAAAGGCAGAGATTTAATTTTCAAGATTTATTATAAGTTAAGTAATATGTTTTTATTAATTATATCGTATAGACAGTTGACTAACCTTATGAATATATATTTTCTACTTTAGATCTAAGTTCAAAAGCTATATACAAAATGTATCGAAATTAACTTAGAGATTTTATACTATTGGAATTGCAAGTTTCATATTTAACGATTGTTATATTAAAATACTAATCTAACAAATTATTAAATTTAGTATAAAAAAGTTCTTGAAATGAGTCAATTCCGGGGAAAAATAAAGCAAGAGCGCAAGTTAAAAGCTATTGAAAAAGCGGCAAAACAAATTCACAATCCTAACATTCTATTACCTATATCTTCGGATACTGAAGAAAGTTATTCGTCTCAAGAATCAGATTTGGAATACGATCATGTAAATAATAATAGTAATAATATTCATTGGGAAGAAATAATTACAAACTGGTCATCACTTTTAAGAGATGAACAATTCGAAGAAGAATTAGATTTTATGGATGTAGATGAAATGGTACATCCTGCTACGAATCAAGATGCTAAGTGGCCTTTGTTGCGAATTTTTCAAAATCATATTGTACAACCTGATTCTTATAATTTGTTATTAGGAATTTAGATAGAAATTTATTGACTTTATTAGTTAATAAACATTATGATTCATAAATGACAACTATAGTCATAAAAAATAAATGATTTTTTTTAGGACAAATATGACTTGTCATATGACAAGTTGTCATTTATTTTAAAATGACAAAGTGCCAACACTGGTGGTGATAGTATCACTGGCAGGATTGGTTGGGGGTATAGTGATGGTTGGGTGGGGGTTTATGTCTTTGTTTGCATTGCTGTTTGTAGCTGTGCTTGTGTTTGTTTGGTCACTGGCTAAGTTCTGTGGTGGTACTGGTTCTTTGGGGGCTAAGAGGTGTGTATTGTGTTCACTGTTGCTTTTGTTGGACTCGTTGTCCGATTCGATTTGTGTAATGGAGTTGTATGGGATTCTGGGCAGGTCGGGGGTACTTTTAGCCTTGGTGTATGGTTTCATACTACCTTCGTAGGCCTGAATGGTTGTGTTAAGGTCACAAGTGCGGGTTGATTTAGGGAATTTGGCGCTAATATTGACAATGTTGTTTTTCTGTGTCGTGAGGTCAAAGAGAACTGATTGGGTAATATCTTCGTGTTTGCAGATCCATTGGGGAGGGTAATTTGCCAAATTTGGAATTCTTCCTGATTTGGTAATATCGATGTAGAAGAGGAAGTCGTTGGCATGTTCTGGAATAGAGAAGCTGACTGTAAAGATGAGTTTGGACCAATCTTTGATAGTAATTTCGATAAAATTTTTTGTGTGTTCGGTTTCTGGAGTTGGTGGTGTAGTGCCAGATAGGTTATCACTAGGTTGCGCGGGTTTGCGGAATGGGGAAAAATAGCTAAAGAAAGAGGTAGAGCTTTCAGAAGTCATGTTTTCGCTAGGGGGCTGAGGTTTGGTAATTTGGGTATTATGGTAGTTCTTGATGTTTTTGTGTAGCAGGTCAGTGGTGCTTGGAGATGGGCTGTTTAAATGTTGACTATCCTTATGGCCGCTTTCGCGGGGGGATAGAAAAACTGGTTTTTTGTCTTTTGACAAGTTTATTGCTGTTTACTTGATGAGAAAGGAGCTTTTTAAAGAAAATGCACCTCTTTTAAATACAACTAGAGGGCCTGAGTAACTTTACTTAAGAGCCAAATAACTGTTTACTTAGTAGGTTTTTGAAATAATCTTGCAGGAAAGTTTTTTCTTCTTGTTCCTGTTTTGGTAAAAGTGATCTATGGGAAGAGTTTTTTTTTTGTTTGTGTATTTGTTTGGATATCTATTTAGATATCTATTTAAATATTTGTTCAGATATCTAATTGAATATTTGTTTGAATATTCATTACAAATATATCAGATAATTTGATTAAATCTATTTGAATATCTGATATAATTATATAGATATCCAGATATAATAATATGGATAAATGGATAGCAGATTTATCTAGATTAGATTTCTATAAAGCTTTATTATTATAGTAAGATTATATCAACTTCCAATACATTATCTCAACTAGTTTTACTTATTATATAACTAAGTATATTACAAACCCAAAATCTTCAGAATTGTTTAATATTGATAAAACTAATAATTATAGAAAAGCATATTATGGCCTATTAGAAGCAGTAGAGTTAGAATATTTTTACTTTAATATTCTTTAACAAAATGTTCTACACTATATATTATCCTCCTTCTATTTCTCTAAACTAAGACTCAGATCTATTAAACTAATCTATATTCTACATGATAGAAATGATAGTAGCAATAAGAATGATATTAACATGCCACTATATTAAGATAATGCTATTGACAAATATTTGATCATTCTAATCATAAATATTTTTGTGAAATCATTACCCTTAGATTCAAATTACCTTGCTATTTCTCTGAATTATTTTATAATTGTAACAAAAAAAAAAAAAGATTTTCTTTAATATAGATAGCCAATATATAAAATTATAGTATAAAAAAACTCTAACCCTAATCTTAACCTAACTATAAATTATACTATGACCCTTACTCTAACTCTAACTATTCCCAAATTTGCTTAAATTTGGGTTTGATTTGAAGTTTGTCAAACTGTTTCTATTTTTGCTGGAAAAATTGCACCTTGAAAGATACGATTTATATATATATATATATTATAATTTTATAATATTTCTATATTGGCCACCTATAATAAAGATTAACCAAAAAAAATAATAGCTAAAAGAAAAATTCCTATTCTCTTATGCTTTACTAATTATAGATTAGAAGATAATAAAGCTTTTTTTTTCAACATCATATTATGAAAATCCCTGCTAGATCTAAGTATAAACTGCTAGAAGTTATTCACCCCACAAAGAATGTTTTCAGTCTCTCTTTCCAAACATTTACTTACAGACAATGGACTCTGCTCAGCAAAGCTATATTACACAAAAAACTAAATTATCAACCACCTATACTTCTATAATCAGTATTGTACATTGGACAATTTTGAACAATTTTGAATATTTTTTCAAATTAAAATAACTTAAAATTTTATTAAGATAATCTATTTTAATTTTTTTAAAAAGAAATCCAGCATTTAAAAATTTGATATAAAACTCTTCCTGTAGATCACTTTACCAAATTAGAAATAAGAAAAAAAACTTTTCTGCGGCATTTTCTCAAAAACCTACTGAGTAATTTGATATCAGACTCTTAAATAAAGTTATCTAGCACCTCAAGTTCTACTTAAAGGAGGTGTAACTTTTGTCAAAAGACCTTACCCTGACAAGTTAATTGCAATAAACACTCAAAACAGCAAAAAAGCAGTTTTTCAATCCTTCTGCAAAAGCAGTCATAAGGACCCCACCCTTCCAATATCCCAAAACAAACCACAGACAGTACTCTAAGGAAAAACAGTGAGGAACAACAAGTTTCGCATTCTACCAACCTTCAATGCTCAGCCAAAAATATGGCATCCAAAAGTTCTTCCTATATCTTTAACTATTTTTCTCAGCTCGCAAAACCTGTGCAACCCAAAGATACTCATACTACCAGCCCGCCTTCAAGCCCAGACACAGAACACACAAAAAATTTTTTAAACATCACTATTAAAGACTGGTCAAAACTTACATTTTCTATTAGCTTCTCTATCTCAGAACATGCCGACAACTTCATCTTCTTTATCGATATCACCAAATCAGAAAAAATTCCAAACCTGGCCAATTACCCTTCTCAATGGATATGCAGTCACGAGAATCCCACCTAATCTGTCCTATTCGACCTCACTATACAGAAAAACAATATCATAAACATTAATGCCAAACGCCTCAAATATACACGTAGCAGTGACCTTGCAACAATAATTAACTTATATGAAAGTAACATGAGATCTTACACAAAAGCCAAACTAAATGCTGACCTACCCATGATTCCATACAACAGTATCACAGAGCTAGACTTAGACAATGAGTCAAACAGGAGCAACAATGAGCAGGCTTACACAGAAATTTTCACAAGGCTCAACTCCTCACAAAATCTGATTACAGAACACACAATTACTAGCACAAGTACCGACAATACTAATACTGTACTACCTATCAACAAACCCCTGAACCTCGACTCCGGTAATAGCTCAAACAATACTAACACCAAGATTACACTACCTAGACCTGGTACCCCCACTAGCCAAATTTCGCAACCGCTACTTACTATACCCACCTCTAGCCATGTCTCTGCAGACACCACATCTAACCCCAACTCTAGCCGCAAAATGTTCAGAAATTTATCCAACATATCTTCACCTGCCGCACTTCCAACAAAGCCACCAAAACTACTATTGGCAGTACTTCTACTTCAATTAGAATACAAGCGAGCCAAAAGACAAATACTAGACCTACCTATAGCCAAATTACTAAAACCAACCTCAAACTCCTTACCACTGATGCCCCAGAAGATGATATAGAGTGGGCAACAGAGGTTTACCTCAAGACTACTACACCTATTAATACCTCCTTTGATACAAATCTCTGGTCTTTCGACAAAATTTCCAAGGCTCTCGAGACCCCGAAGACATATATGAGTTTATCAGTTACAAATTAATTACAAACCACACAAAATACAAACTACCAGAGGCAACTTTACCACCTTCACATGCAATCCAAAAACTACTCCAGCACTCCAAAAAGAATACATGAACCTTTTCAACACAGCTTTAACAGTATACAAGAAAGAAAATGAGATCACACTTACCAACACCTCTACCTGCAACACTATCCACTCAATGCTTAAAAAAATGCTTATCTCACAGCACCTCTTCAACATTAATTTCTCCAAAACTACATACAGACAGATCTACAAGACTATTCAGTATGCCAGAGGATTTTTACAAATCAAAAACACTAGTGAGGATACACCAAAGAAAATCTGAGCACAAATTAATAGAGCTTTTAAAAACAAATATACTACTTCCTAATACACCGGAGCAAATCCCAAAGGAAATCTCAGAAATCTTGCCATTCAAACTCCCTATTACACAGCATTCGCACACTAGAGCCATGGTAAACGGCTTAAAAAAAATCTTCAAATTCCCAGAACTTCCTGATGCATACTTTGCAAAACTCTCACCACTTCCTCCTCACTATAATGAGCTTATAGCTAGCCTCTGCCAACTATTTCCTATTTCACACAGATCTTCCCTTCAACATCTTGCTGCATATAAGAGAAAGCTTGCAGACTTCTACACAGTTACCAAAATCCCAGATTCATACTTTGACCTTCCACCTCCCAAAAAACCACTACCAACTACCTACCAAGAGCTCAATCACAAAGTCCGCAAATTCTTTCCATTCAACCAAGCTACTTCTACTATTCCACTTGCTGAGGTCATCTCCCAGCTTAGAGAATATTATATCTTCAAACTGTTTCCTATTGACTTCTTCACTACCAAACCACCTCTCCCAACAGACATAAGCAAGATCAAAACTATCTTCCCATTCAACTTCCCTATCACAGATGATGCTAAGGCCAGAGAATTTATCAAACAAGTTTTTCTCTACTACCGAGTCCCATTCCTGATCCTAAC